TCAGGTCATTTTTTAGGTCATTTAACAACACTGGCATAAACCACCCCGGGTCTGTTACTTTAAGCCTGCGTGAAAATTGATTCAGACCCGGTCGAAATTCGTAATTTCACTCCTGCCCGTTATTTCGCGACAATACGGTACTTAGCAAATTGTCGCCCTGTGTGGTGTCGAGTAGGGAAATAATTTCGGAGCATCGTACTATAACCACCCTACGTTGTTCATGCCTATTTATAACGAAAATTATTAAGCCAAATATCACGCAATTGACTTGAACTAATTAAGGGCATAAATTTTTGGGGCGCGAAAATAATTTCCGTACCTATAATTCTATCATGTAATTATTTGGCCGGGAATCCTCCACAAAAAGATTCCCGGTTATAGTATGATCGTGTGGGAAATTACAATGAAGGTAGGTATGAACAACAAACAGTAAGGCAGGGTATTATAATTCGAAACATATTTTCATATAAATGTTTAGAATCAAATAAGATTAATGCTTCACCGACTTTAATTAAGTCATTACATTAAGTTTTTATCATTTAAAACGAAATAACTAATACAAAAATGACATATATATTTTTAAATATATAAAAGTCACAAACTTAACGTGAAAAAGATATTATTGTGAAAGATGAAGATGATCAAATACTACATAGACAATATCGTATCGTATTGATATCAACAATTAAAATTACTAATGATCAAATTTCCCTCATGCTCGCTAGGAGAAAACCTGAAAAAACCAGACTTTCGGGACTTCTAGTTTATTATTTATCGTTATTATTTACCGGATTCAGCCCTGATCAAATATAACGATAATACGTATTAATTAATTAATAATTAAATTTATTTACGTATCATATATGCCTTTGATCAGGGCTGAAATAATAATGAAACTTTAAAGCCCGAAGTTCTTGACGTCACTCATTTTTTTGGGGTCTTTTCATAAAAATTAGGGATCATCTGCGCAATTAACCAATAACAACGATAAAACCTACACATCCATAATGTTAATCTTTTTTTAACCAAAAATATGGGTGAAAACGAGGAAGTACAAATATCATCTTTAAATACCCTTCTACAAAAAATTGTAAATGAACCAAATTATTCTTCAACATTAGTAGCATCAAACGAATATGAAGATATTTTGCGTAACCTTTCTTCCAACTCACCAAAAATAAAACCTTTGTCATTGTTAATTTTAACGAAATTATTTGAAAATGCACAAAAAGATAAAAATTCTATGGAATTATTTAAACAAACTAGTTCCAAAATTATTATTAAATGGTTAAATTCAACTACAAAACAAGAAAAATTATATGGATATGGTGCACTCGAATCGATTTTTCAAATATCTAGCGACATTGGTTCTTTCATTTTATTAAAGGAAGGTATTTTAGAAGATATAATGGATTGTATCGAATATGAACATGAGGACGTTCAAAGGGCTATTACCGAAATAATATCTGTAGCTTGTTCGCAAAAGGATTGTAGAGCTTTAGTAGCAATACATTGTCAAAAATATTTAACAAGTTTAATGACTAGCAACAATCAAAAACTAAAAACTTTATCAGCTGTTGCATTAACAAAAATTTTGTTGGATGAAAAAGCCTCAGAACAACAATCAAATGGCAATAAAATTTCAGTAATTGACGAAAATGAGACGCTTTTAGCAGGTTTATTTCAAAATATGGTTTTGGATACTAATTCGGAAACCACCACCCGTGTAAATGCTATTGAAGGATTAGCTTATTCTAGTTTAAAACCCGCTGTGAAAGAAACGATCGCTTATCATCCAACGTTGTTAAAAGAAATATTTAAGCTTGTGCAAGACTCAGAAAAGACGGATAATGCATTATTTTATGGTGTAGCAGTAATCTTGGCTAATGTTACCACATACAAGAAAAAAATGAATGAATCTGAAGAACAAATTTTCAAATTAAAGAAAATGTCAGG